ATGTCATCATTATTTATGTCCATGGTACACACCTCTGCCCCGAAATATTCACCAGTCTGATACTGTGTAAGGAAGATATTATTAATGAAATGATTTGTGTTTTCTTTAATCAAAAGCTTTTGTTTTAGGAAATAATTTACAGTATGTACAGTTTACAATATAATACAGATCTGTATTGCTGTAAGTACATACCTGCGATGAAAAGGGCTCAATCTTTTGGTTTTCAAAGCTTTGTCTGTTAACAGCGACCACCACTCCTCTGTGTTTATATCTTGGAGCACCAACAATTGTAAGTGTGCCATTTTTGGTTATAACAATTGCCATGGAGTAACCTAGAATTTAGGTAGTCAAAAGGGAAAGACTTTTTCCATTTTGCAAACTGATACATGTGTTTTGGTCAATTAATTGCAGTAGAGCTATACACACAAAGACAGATATATGAATTCAATTGTTAAAAACTACCAAGATAACTGTCAGGCTCCAAAGACACATCCTCATATGTTTTCACTTTCTGGCCCTCTGTTGTGTATTGCACGTAGCCTCCCTTCCACTGGTTTGCACCAACAATAGACATTTGAATTCCCTACAGTGCAGACAGAAAATACATTTAAAATGCAATTTACTTTTCATTTAAAATCTGGATGGTGTTCAGTTGCATAACTGTCTGTTTGCCTTTACGTCACAAAATTTGGCACACAGGAATCTCTCTTTCTATGACGATACTGTCTGGTGAGTTTCAGGTGGTTTTAATTACCTCAGGCACATAAATTGCACTGAATCCCTCTTGAGACATTTCCATTTTCAGTGACTCTCCACTGTTTTGAGATCCTGTAACATAAAAAACAAGATGATAAAACACATAAAACAAATTTCACTTTGCAAATTTTGCAAATACAAATTCATTAAGCTTCAAGTAATAGTTTCAAATGATTTTTTTTTTTGCTATTTATTATAAACACAAAAATAAACTAGAAGGTAAAAAAGAGACACAATACAACATTTACAAGTTAATTCTTTCAATCCTTTCATTAGGTTTGAAGTGGCAATTAGTGTTCAGTTTCAATAATGTATAGTGATGAGATATTTTGCCATGACACAATAAAGTAATATAGTAAATAAAAAGGTTAATACAATGTATTTACAATGTATGTTATTTTAGTCAATCAGTAGGATAACAAACCAATAAAGGAAACAAAAATCTAGCAATAAATTCATGTTTATACCTTCGATGGAGAAAATTTTCTCCTGCAGATTCTGTCTTATTAATTCAAGTGCGTTGAAGTTCTTCACTTGAAACACGTGTTTGTCTGAAGGAGACGATGCAATGGTGTGCAGTTCTCGTTTTGCTTCAGTTTTAGTAAATGCATTCCCCACCTAGGTTTGTTAGGAAATTATGTTTGCATTGTCATGCTATGCAAAATGATTTGGTCCCTTTAACAAAATACAGTCATAAACTTAACGTTTTCACCCCATTATAATATATCATTTACGGACAGGAATTATGCATTATTTGTTAGAAATATGTTTGTTTGGGTTCTGATTACAGATGGACTGATCCGATATTAAGTATCGGTATTGGTCCGATACTGACGTAAATTACTGGATCGGATATCGGAGGGAAATAAAAAAAGTAATCCAATCCATTAAATATCAAAAAAGCACCTCAAAAAACTTGCGACATGGCGTAACTCGGTCTGTAATATACCCTAGTAAGCTATAGTACTTTTTCCTTTGGGAAGATACCATCTGTGCAGTCTGCAGTTCTGTTGAAGAAAGATGTTGAATCTATTTAATTATTCTTGAAAAATAATTGATTTCTGTGCATTTTTTTTCACACTGCATCAAATTAAAGTTGATTACGTCGATTAAGCATCATGAGGTGGAGGGTGGTTCCCTATTTTTTTTATTTTTTTGCTGGGAGTTTTAGAACCCTATTAGTTTGTCATGATTCGTTGTGTGGCAGGCAGGAGAAGGACCCAAGATGCAGACTCACAGACACGGGGATAAACTTAAAGATCACAGTTTTAATGCTGGCTTAAAGGTGAAACACAAAACAGTACTGAACTAAACTGGAAAAACTAAACATGAGATGTACCAGGAACCACGGGGAGAGTAACACACAACATGAGGGAGAACGCGACGCCGAACAGAGGGAGACGCAGACAGAAATACACAGAGGGTTAACGAGGAAAGTGGGAACACACGGGGAACACAGCTGACACAGATAACCATAACGAGACAGGGCGGGGTGAACATAACACTGACGGGAGACGGGCAGAGTCAAACAGGAAGTACAGAGGTTCAGACAGGAGGAGAGAGAGCACGGGGAAAAACACAGACATAACGGGCTGGGGAAACATGGAACAACCACAAAGGGAGACGAGGGCTCATAAATACAGAGAGGGCACACAGGGGGAGAGAGAGCACGGGGAGAACTTAGACATAACGGGCAGGGGAAACATGGAATAAAACATAAGGAGAGACGAGGGCTCACAGATACACAGAGGGGCACACAGGGGGTAAAAGCCACGAAGGGAAAACACTTAGGGAACAACACAACAGGGCAACTCAGGAAACATGGCCTAAATAGGGAACAAAATACAAACATACAAGAAAACTAAGAATACTGGGCCAACATGGCCCAGGACCATGACATAGTTAGGTTGCATACTCTCTAAAATACCAGAATAGGGAGGATGGAGTAGGTTTAGGTTTATTAGATTGATCAGTATTGCTGAACTATGTTTCTCTTGTGCAGTTGATTTTATAACAGTGATATAAATAATAATAATAATGGATTGGATTTATATAGCGCTTTTCAAGGCACCCAAAGCGCTTTACAATACCACTATTCATTCACTCTCACATTCACACACTGGTGGAGGCAAGCTACAGTTGTAGCCACAGCTGCCCTGGGGCAGACTGACAGAAGCGAGGCTGCCATATCGCGCCATCGGCCCCTCTGGCCAACACCAGTAGGCAAGTAGGGTAAAGTGTCTTGCCCAAGGACACAACGACCAGGACAGAGAGCCCAGGGATCGAACCGGCGACCTTCCGGTTACAGATGCGATTCCCAACCCCCTGAGCCACAGTTTTTAATTTGAGTCTGAACTTATACAAAAAGCAGCAAGATATTAATAAAAACAGTTTTATTGATTAAAAAACACATTATATCGGATTCATATCGGTATCGGCAGATATCCAAATTTATGATATCGGTATCAGTATCAGACATAAAAATGTGGTATCGTGCCATCTCTAGTTCTGATACTACGCATGATTACATGCTCACTATAATTAAATACAGCTGTGCTGAGGTACATAATGCATTGGACACCCCCTGCTTACGCAATAATTTCATCTGGTAACAAAAACAGTGCATTAGAACCTTCATGGCATTGGTTCCGATGGTCAAACAACTTTACACATTCTGCAAGCTTAAATAATCAAAGTACTTACCCCAATAGCAAATCGAACAATGTTTTTACTCTCTGCTAGCTGTGCTGCACTGTGCAGATGATTTCGATCATGGGATTGCCCATCGGTAATTACTATCAAGACCTTCTTCACATTTGGTCTGGAACCTCTTTGTGGTATGAAAACCTTTTCCCTGTTAAATGAAAAACAAAAATCAAATGTCAAAACATCTTGAGAATTATTGAGTATTATTTCAGCATGCATCATTGTTTTTCATATTACCTTTCGATGTAGACGGATTTTTGTACTTAGCAAATTTCTTTATTGGAGTTTTGTTTTTCTTTTGTTGTTCTTTTTCA